AACTTGTATCTCTAAAAAGTCATGGCTTTTTTTTGTTACGAGTTTATTCAAAAAACAGCCCTGTCTTCAGCTTTGTGACTCGGTTTTCTTTTTTGCTGATCCAAGAGGGATTTAAAATAATTTATTCAGGTTAAGATGAAGGAGAAATGTTGTAACTGAGAAAGGAACACTCAAGTTTATCATAAATATTCAATATACACATATGTGGAGATAAATTGGTTTTACTGGACAGCAAAGCAAGTATATTGGAATACAAGTAAAATGTTCACACCTGCATTGTATTGGAGCATGAAGTATCAGACAAATGTAAATACTCAAGTACTTTTGTTTGTACTTAAAACCAGAACTTGATTAAATGTGCTTTCGTGCATTACACCACTACTTTAAATAAACATGTGTGACATATAGAGACAGGAAAAGAGAACGTATAGGTCAAAGAGATTGGGTTTAAAAAACTCCCTGAGCTCATTCTGGACTCTGTACATTCAGGCATGAAAGCACACTGTCATCACTGTACCAAACAAAGCAGTGAACTAAACAAAACAACACACTTACCACTGCATTCCTGTTTTTCTCTCTTTTTTTCCCCTACATTTTTGTATCTGCCCTCCTGAAAAGAGTCCCAACAATCTGCAGCCTGCTCATCACACTTACACTCAAAATACCTATACTGGAAGTTTGACAGTTCATATTTTAATGCTTCTGTCAAGATATTGATTTATTTGAAGTAATTTCATTAGGAATCTGACTTTTATTTAACCAGTAAGGACTTTGAAATAGAGGTAGACGTGTACAAGAAAAAGGGAGAGTGGAAAAGGACGCTGAGTTTAAAAGAAAGTGGAGATGGAGAGTCTCTGGTGTCTGCTGTTTGACACATGGCATTTATATATGTTGGTTGCACATGCATAGATAGATTGGTATGTGGTGCTCAATAATTGAATGGCTAAGTGATCCCGAGTGAACACATGCTCTTCTGCCGTATGGTTAGGAGCTTGTGTTCTTAATGACAAATCTGAGGCAATACGTTCCTTACTGTAAGTATATTCATTTTATGTTACTTTATACTTCTACTCTACTGCATCCAAGAGGGAAATGTTGTACATTTTCCTCTACTACATTTGTCTGACATCTTTGGGTTCTATTTTTGTATGTCTTTCCCATCAACTGTTAAATATAAACTGAAGGATGAAGTGTTCGTTTACTGGCTGAGAAGATATTCCTACCACTTAAGCTAAATCAACTCCCTCTTGGATGGAAAAGACATTGTCTCAAATCGGAAAAAAAAAGTAAGTAAGGTTGTTTTTCTGAGCTCATGAATAGTGCACTTTTGCATGGTTCACGGCAAAAACACTGACAAGAAACATTTGACTACACAATGGGTACTTTAAATCTTACAAGGACTTTTACTGGTAGTGGAATATGTTCAAAGTGTGCTATTGCTACTTACCTTGCAGAACACAGTTGCTGGTCTACCGCTGCCTCGATCAGTAAGTTTGTTTGTTTTATTGTGTGACTTAAGTGTTTAAATTCACTTATGTTAGTGTTCGGATTCACCAAAGCCACACAATAACACAAACTAAGTGATTGAGGCAGCAAAATACCAGCAAGTCCAGTTTCCTGAAGGGTAAACTGATGAGCTTTGTCGAAGAAGTCTGGTGGTTGAAGAGAGCATATATTACAGCTTCAGTTCCCCATTGGAAAGGGCTGTCTGACAGTGAGATTAAGCTGTGAACATTTCTAAATATAGCGTGCTGGTACTTCTGTCTGCTTCTACAAACTGGGGGGCGTGCCGATTCCAATCTACTGTAAAACATTGACTATCTCTAAAAACCTAATACAGCCCAATTCAAACACTCGATGTCCTTTAAATGGAGTTGGATTCATACAGAGTGTACGAGGGGGACAGTGACAGACTGTGTACAATGCAAAGGGGGACAAAGGTAAGAGGACAGAGACAAAGGTTAGGGGAGTCAAAGGGTTCAGCGGAGACACACAGATCAATAATGGGAGTTTAACCAGTTATCAGACCTCCCTAATCTCTCTCACTGTGGACGACACAACTTTTTGGATCCAAATTGTACACATCAAAACCAACATTACAGTGAGTTTACAGTTCAACGCAAAACTGACTGCATTTTGTCCTCTTAAAAAGGAATTGTTCAAGATTTGTTTGTATGCTTTTAAGGAAATGTATATTGTGTAAAGCTTTAACTTCATTCAGTTATGGAAAAAGTGCTTTTACATTAAAAGAAAATAGCAATATTGCCTTTTAAAAGTCTTATATTCAAGATGTATGTGCACCTGTAAAGGGTGTGGACTACAGTACATATGCACTGGGATAATGCAAAAGACCTGAAAAGACAAACATCAGCAAAAGGCAAAAGTCAGGAAAGACATACATGACCAGTGAGAGGGGGATCTTATCTGAGTGTGTCCTACACAGTGGACTCGGCACATCGGCAGGTTTTATGGTCTCAAAGTTTTTCACTTACAATGCGGGTATTGTTCTCAGTGTGCCTATGACTGTAGCAGGAACTGACACACAAGTACTGTTATCGCTCACAGCAAGCATCCATTACGCCCCAAAAATCTCCTGCTGAACCCTCCCCAAAATCTGTTTCTCATTCTCAGTTTTTGCAGCTCCCTTCCCCCTCCTCACCCTTACTGTTTTTCACCCTAAGCCCTCCCAATAATTTCTTTTGTTTTTCTCTCTCCCCCTCTGGGATGAAGCAACACAACCGGAGTGTGAGTGTGTAGCTCCCTTGAACTGTTTGTTGTTTTAGTGAGCCCTATGAACAGAGAGGCACCCATCAGGCAAACAGTGTTGGACATCCTGCTTGTTGCGGAATACGAGGTCAGACAAACATTGGGGAGAAAAGGAGCGCCTGGTGGGAGAGAGTCCAACCGGAGCCTCCTCAAAGTACATTCACACATGTGCTGTCCTGTATCCGACCTTACTTGACTCTTTTCTTTTTGTGTTTTCTTCTTCTCCACTGCAATTCAGAGGAAAGAATTATACTTTTGATCCACTACATTTTTTTTTGTTACTTCACAAAAAGTGATGTGTAAATTGTACAGTAAATACAGTACAGTTGTCATCGATGTAATAAATCAGTTAAATTAAAATGATTTTTTTGCACCATTGTTTTGATCAGTTGTTTTTGTAACATGGGTAAAGATGGCCTTCTCCAACCAAGGCTGTTTGGTTCCAAAATTGGTCAAAAATAAACTTCACGTCGGATGTGCTCATCTATTTTAATTAAAATGGCTCCAACTATTTACTTTTCTTTTTTATTCAACAAGCAATTTGTTGTATTTCAAGCCTACTGAATACAGCAAAACAGACTGAACTGATTACAGATCATTGATTTATCTTTAAGCAGTATATCATCGCATATTACCCTCTATTCTGCTCCCATATTTAGTGTTAATATTGCAATTAAGGAGAGTTTGAACTTCTAACAGACAAAGGTGTCCGCTCTCTCTTTAATTTCCTTTATCAAAACTCGGACACTGTCCTCTTTCCTTTTTATTCCTCCTCCTCATTAGCAGAAACAGTATAAATATTCCAATTAGGCACTGTCACATTGCAATGCCAAAAGCATCTTCACATTCTGTCAGCTGGAAAACTCGACAGTAGATTGGTGATGGTTGCATTAATCAAACAAAAGCACATCCAGGAGGTGGAGAATTCCCAAGCTTGGAGCAAACAGGTCATGGTTTTTTTCTGACAGTATTGGGTGTCCAATTGCATTTACTGTGACAAGGTTAGGAGCATGTGGTCTCTATTTTTTGTGAAGGAATGTTAATTTAATGAACTGTGCTTTTGCTTGACAGTGGTTTTGTTGTTGTTGTGTGCAGTGGGAGTGTACAGCAGGGGCAACGAAATTACTTACATACAAAATTGCCTGTACATACATTTTCTGGTGAAGATCAGGGTCACTACACTACTTGGGCTTTACGTTGTGAAATATATCTACACAGTTTATACATACCTATCTTTAGTGCTCTTGATGATAAAAGCCACAGATATTAGTGATACAAAGGTCCAGAGAGCAGGGTATAGGGGGACGTCACTTTCTTATCTTCTGGTCTGAAGTAGCAAGAAATGCTTTCAAATCTGTGTCGTCCTGCAACAAATTTCAACAAATACTTAGAAAATGTGTTGACCTTGCATGCAAGGGTGGAATGCAATTTTTTTTTTTTAAAGCACAAGAAAATAACCCAATTCAATCATTTAACTAAAGACAGCTACTTGTCATGTGCTCATCACTTTCTGAGACCCTTTAAATACTTCTACTCTTCTTATTGATTCAGATTTTAAATACAATGGTCTTAGGGATTAATAGACTTTGGAATGACTTGATAGCATGCGTTGTCTGACTTTCTTTATTTATTTAAGAACAATGGGATTTAATGCAGGGTTTAATCAGTAATGTGTAACAAAACCAAAGAAGGGTGATGAGGAAGCTATGAATATGGTTAATGTCAACAAGAATAAACAACAGAAAACAAATCTGGGCCAAATTTTTGGGAAGAACTTTCTGAATGTGCTTCCACATATAGGACTATCATGCACATTGGTAGCTGAGTGGTTAAAGCTAATGAGTTATGATCATAATGTAAAGGTTTGATTCCAGCTTTTGGACCTTTGTTTCATATAATCTTACCCCACTCTCTCTCCCCCCATGTGTACACTTTGTCAAACAGAGGTAAAAAGGCCAAAAGGGGGTTATATCTCTTAATTTTCCTGTGTATCTGTATATATATATAACCCATGTGTAATGCAACATGCTGCTATTACAAAAAATACATCTTATCTAATCTAAGAGGTTTGCAGGACTTTTAATTGTACCAGTTCTGCACTACTGTATCAGAGGCCTCTCCTTTATCTAAATTATCTGAGTACTTCCACTAGCAGTTTGACGCCTCTCCCTCATACGCACGTGCTGACTTTTTTCAGATACCTCCGCTGCCACTCACGCTCGTGCGCATGCGTGGTGCCTACAGTGTCATCATCACCATTCCAGAAGTTGTCCAGTCTGTGGTCTATGGTGATACCCCGAGCTGCTGCTGCTGCTGCTGTTGGAGGACCGACGTTCAGCCAGTCAATATCAAGGACACCCCGGGACTCGCCCACTCACAGCCGAACCGAGCCCCACCGGGTCCGGCCGAACCCCCGAACACAGCCCCGGTGAGTGAACGGACCAACCGTCGAGACAAAGAGGCAACCGCTGAATAAAACGGCTCTTTTTTGGGGGTGGGGGGGTTATGTTCAACTTGTGCTGAACGACTAGTTGTGTAAATTAGCTAGCTCCGCTCCTCCATTCGCTTAACCAGTGCATCCTTCTGCTTTCGTTACCGTTTCCTCATTGCGAGGCATGATCTAAAGAGCGTGCTTCAACCTTCAACCGACGTGGTTACATTCATCGGTGCCGTGATGCTGGCGCTATTCTTTTTACATTCATTTAAGTGAAGTCAGGGAGGCTGGCCGGGTGTTTGACAGCCCGGTGCTGCGGGTCACGGGTCGGCCCAGTGCCAGAACCGACAGCTTATGGACTCAAACACGCACACGCACACGCACACACACACACACACACACACACACACACACACACACACACACACACACACACACACACACACACACAGACGAGGTTTGATTCGCAGTCCATTTGACCGCAGCCCTTTTACGTGTTATCTGTATCCTGAGCTGAATGAGCTTCACATGCTGGATCTTTCGAGGGGCTCATCTCAATGGAGAGATCACATGCGCTGCCCACCATTCATCCCCATTGTCTACTGTCTTTTACTGTAGAGGAAAATAATGCACTGTATTTAAGTGCAATATAGTGCTATTTGTACAGTTCTTGAGTAATTTATGGTTTTTATACACTACAATTTAGAGGGTGTGCTTTTTACTGCATTACTGTAATTTTAGAGCTTGTGTTAAAAGCTATTATTAAAACGAAATGTGATCAAAGAAGCATTAACTCAAGTATTTTGAGTTATATGTATGTCCAGTGCTTAAATCTTGGAATTAAAAATAAAACATGATCAATTAAATGTAATATAGAGCACTTTTATACTCTACTTACACTAAGCAGTTCTCAAAAAGAAACTCCAATTCTTTAGATCATGATCTAAAGAATTGGAGTTTCTTTTTGTGTGATTGATTAAAAAAACTCAGTACCAACAGAATTCACACTGTACACGGTAGTTAATAGAACAGGACTAAATACAATGATATTCAAAGCCAACATGAAATGGTGGATCTTCACTAAGTGTAATGAAGTATCATTATAGATAATTATTAGATACTGTGCGTCATATCAAGTAGTTTAAATAGGCTCCACCTTTTGTAAGTGATACACACATTACTACATCAATAGTTATAATCCAATCCTATTATATACATTATTCTGAGATTTGCAAAGTCAGAACTTTTACTTTTAGCACTTTTAGTGCTTGCTTCTTTTTAACAATAACTGTGAAAGCAACTCAGAAACTTGCCATATGATTTTCCATTTTAGGGGTGACCTGCAGAAAGTCAAATCACAGGAGCTGGATTCATGCACTGCTTTCTCTGTGCACGGATGTTCCAGCTCTGGGTGGTTATCCACTGAACTTTGAGTTCTCTGGAAGACTTGCAGTTGAATATTTCCCTCTTGCATTGAGTCATTTCTTTAGACTTTTTGAATTATAGTATAGTGTATTTGAATGTTTCTGTTCTCAGGAATCTGCTGATCAGGTTACTTCTGCTGCTTTTCCAAAACTAACTTACGCAGTTGTGGTTTTCCTCGCGCTAACCTACTAAGGACATTTTCTGGCAGCCAAGGTTAACTGTAGACAGGACATGTACCTTCATTGTGCAATCTTTATGGTTATGTGTTATCATTATTGCTATGACCTGCCAGGAAAAATGTTAAATGCTTATTCAAACTTTAGCGTGTATTCAAATTCTGACTTGTTGCTTAGCTTATTACTGTCTTGGTGATTGTTGGCAGGTATCCATAGAAGGGTGAATATGGGAAGTGGTGAATCACATTAGCAGTTTCAACATCAGAGGAACCTAATGGCGCATTTCCACTACACGGTCGGCCTCGGCCACACTCGGTACGGCTCGGTACGGCTTGGCCGCGTTGGGCCTTAACAGGGCCGACTCACTTCATGCTGCGCTTCCATTACAGTTTAGGAACTGGGGTAGTTACTATAGTAACGCAGTGTAGGCGGAGCCGTGACGTCATCTTCAATGAGAAATCCAGAAACACAACACAACCGTTAGCTGTTAGCACTCAGAGCTCACAGCTCCTTATATATGTTCAGAAACTCGACAAAAGTTAAACAAGTACAAACCACAGACTGCCTGTGTCATGGTGAATACAGTCGCTGCTTTATTTATGTCTGTATAGGCCGTTGTTGTGAGTGTGGACGGTCGGGGCATATACTGCGTTAGCTTAGCCAATCTCCATCTAGAAAAACAAGCATTTTAAAAGGTTTTTCCCCTGCCGTCTGTCTGCAGACTTGACAAAGCATTAATTCATGGTTTTTACTAACCAGTATCAGTATGTTGTTACTTCGGCATCATTTTGAAACGTGTATTACAATTAAATCACGGTCAAATATGTCCATCTTGTTGTAGTTCTAGCCCTCTTGCCAGCGCTCCTCTCTCTAGTTTAGCATACTCAGCCCGACTCAGCCCTGTTTGTTGGCCCCGATAGAACCACAATTTTCTAGGGCCAGAAAAGAGGGGAAAAAGTGGCCCCGCGCCGTGCCGCGCCGGAACGAGGCCTAGTGGAAGCACAACCAAAAAAGGGGACGGCACGACACGGCACGCTTAAAGCGAGCTACGCGCTGCAATGGAAATGCGCCATTAGTGAATGATAGACGTGGTTTGTTGATGATTTACATAAAAAAACTATATCTATTTAGTTATCAGGCTAATGAATGAGGAATGTTGTTTTAGCCTGAGGCTTAATGAGTGGAGACTTGTCAGTTCTGGTTGCTGTTCTTTCTGACCGCATAATGTGAGAAAGACAATCGGGTTGGTTAGGAGGGAAAGCCACAATTGGGACTGGATGTGGATCGAGCTTATGCCTGAGGTTATTATTCATTTGTAGCCCTCGAAAATTCCCAAGTTGAATGGGCTGCAAACAACGATTACTTTCACTATCCATTAAGTCAATAATGGTTTTGTCCGTCCAAAACACAAAGATGTATTCAGTTTCATATGATATAAAATAGAGAACAGCAAGAACACATTCATATACAAAGGGGTTGAAATGGCATCTTTTGAAATGTTTGCATGAAAACTAACTAATGATTAATGGATTATCAACATTTGTTGATTATTTTACGATGAAATATTTTTTTATTGGTGTTACGTTTCCTCCAAATCTAGGGGTACCAAGGGAAGTAAGAAAACACAACGTTGACCAGGCACGAGGAAAAAGAGAGGAAACCGTTCTCTGGAGTCACGAACAGGCCTTTTAATAGTCAAGAAAAGAACACGGGCTGCTCACCAGCTAACTTGCACATTACACTAGTGTCCCATATCCAGGAGCACATCTCTTATTGATCTACAGAACACAGGTTGTACGCATGCAGCCAGAGAAGGAAAAATGGGGAATCACTGCAGTCTTCCTCCGGTCCTATATGGAGGCCCTGATTGGGAATTTGGAGCACCTGGGGAGAGGCTGCACCTGGGGAATCAGAGGGAGAGCAAGAAAGACACACACACACACACACACACACACACACACACACACACACAAACACTACGGCACGTAACAATTGGACTAATCATTGCAGCTCTATTCACCGGCCACATTCAAACATTTCACAGCAATTGCGTATGGGGAGAAGGAAAGAGCCTTCAAACTGAAGTGTTTACTAATGCCCCTTTCACACCGGCGCTTTTCCAGCTCCGGCTCGGAGCTGGAGCTGAAAAAGCGCCGGTTTTTCCTGTTCACACCGCAGCGGCGCCGCGTCATAGCTCCGGAATGCGGTTCACTTCCAGCTCCAAAAAATTGTCGGTCTAGAGGCAAGAGCTTCGGAGCTATGACGCGGCGTCGCTTACGTCTCTCTTACGTCGAGGCGTGCAGGAAACCTTACTTTGACCATCCGTTCGCTGTTATTGATCATTGTGGAGAGCAGGCAGACGTTTTGTTTGTTATTATAGCAGCTATCGGATGGAATCAATACATGGGCTGCACAGGTTGTCATGTCCGACTATCACAAGTAGAATCATAATGAAAAATACGTCGGTAAAATGTGCCTGTAGAAAACGGCTTAGCAAGTAGTCAGTTTAGCTTCGGTTGCTATGCTAACATCACCCATGTTATACCAGAGAAACTTTCATAACAGCGTTGTGATGCCAAACAGCGTCAATTCAGACTGACACACATTTACTTAAGGGGAACTGGGGATATGTACCAGCTGCTTGTGTGACAGTCAGACAGTGAATACTTTAGAGCCGTGTGAGCTAACCCGGAGCTAACGGGAAAATAAACTCCCGTTGAAGAGCAGCCAGCACTGCAGCGGTCGGTAAATGCCGCTGAAACACATTAATAAACAATGAACCACGGCACTCTGGAGAAAAGTATAAGGTTGGAGAAGTCGTTATTTAATTTAATCTGGCTTTGTATGATTAAAAGCAACACGATCATCGACCCGACGCAGTCCCCCCCCCCGTTGTTGTTGTGAGCTCCGTCGGGGAGAAAATCAGCGATGTAAACGGTGACGTCATGACACAGCAGCGGCAGCTGGGCGGTGTGAACAGAGCGGGAGCTGAAAAGGGAAACCGGAGCTGAACCAGAAAAGCTCTAGCTAGGAGCTAGAAAGGGAAAAGCGCTGGTGTGAAAGCCGCATAAGAGACTGGATGATAAAACAATGAAAACACCTGTTGTGGGCAGGGGCCAGTTTAAATGCAAAATCTAGAAATAATAATGGATGCACACTTACACACACTTTTGGATGCACCTGTTGTCCACATCGTCACATGGAAAAAACAATTAAACCTGTGCACTGTGTCCTTGAGCTGTGTGTGTGTGTGTGTGTGTGTGTGTGTGTGTGTGTGTGTGTGTGTGTGTGTGTGTGTGTGTGTGTGTGTGTGTGTGTGTGTGTGTGTGTGTGTGTGTGTGTGTGTGTGTGTGTGTGTGTGTGTGTGGTGTGTGTGTGTGTGTGTGTGTGTGT